TATGAAAAACGTCGAATTAGAAGTGACATTAATGTTTGCAGCGTCGAAAATTTCAGTTTTACCTAAGTGGAAGGACCGTCCAATAATTACAAAGTTGCACATTAATTCATCAGTTTTATGACTAATGTGATCAGCTCCAGCCACCTACATTATGCGAAGTGGTTTGTTACTCAGTACTTCATTGCTCGCTGGATTTTAGGACCACAAACATTACTTATAGTGAACCATCTTTTAAAATTTATGACGGCATGCAAAAGTAAAGTCCCGCCCTATAAGAAGAGTTGCTTCGCTATCAGTGATCTGGGGTATGGCACTCTAGGAGCAACCCTAGCTTGGGTATGGCACTCTAGGAGCAACCCTAGCTTGGGGTAAGGCATTCTAGGAGCAACTCTAGCTTAGGGTATGGCATTCTAGGAACAACTCTTGCTTAGGTATGGCATTCTAGGAGCAACTCTAGCTTGGGTATGGCACTCTAAGAGCAACTCTAGCTTGGGGTATGGCACGCTAAGAGCATCTCTAGCTTGGGGTAAAGCATTCTAGGAGCAACTCTAGCTTGGGTATGGCATTCTAGGAGCAACTCTAGCTTGGGGTATAGCACTCTAAGAGCAACTCTAGCTTGGGGTAAAGCATTCTAGGAGCAACTCTACTTTGGGGTATGGCACTTTAGGAGCAACTCTAGCTTGGGGTATAGCACTCTAGGAGCAACCCTAGCTTTAATTTTGTGGTGTTGCACAAACAATCCATCAAAATAAGCTAGTGAAAGAGGAAGTGTTTCAAGTTTATGACCTAGCACATCGTGGTGGTCCACCTTTATATGTACAGAGACATCTCGTTCACTTCGGCAAAGAGCTGAGCCAAGTTCCAGTTAGCTAATGTATTTGCCACTAACACGACATAATAGTGAACACTATGCACAATGTGACGTGACGGTTTTTGAGCGAAGCATACAAGATGTGGTGAAATAGATTACTTGGTGCAGAAACAGTAAACCTGCAGCGCTAGTTGGTCAAACAGCAAATGACGAATGTTAGCTGTAGATATTATTAATTCAAATATACTCATCGTTATTGTTGAAATAGACACTGTTCGGTGCAAAGAACGTGGCTTTAGTTGTCCCAAAGGCTGCAATAACAGCAGAGTTAATACCCCTGTGCAACTTCGATAATATTCCTGTTGTCCGTAAGTCAGTGTTGGTCTCCATATTTTTGATAGCTCGAAAAGCTAATTCCAAGACTGTTCACCTTTTTTTTTTTTATGAACGTTATGACAGCAAGCTGCGTGGAACGATTAATTTCATTCAAAGGTCGCGGAAGTTTGCTAATGTAAAGAACTGGAAATGGGTCTGTTTATTTGACTTCTGCTATTTGCAGCTCCTATTTCTAGATTTTTTTTATTATTTCCTCATTGGAGCGTGGACTTTTCAGGCGCTTCAGAACCAATTTCAGGCAGAATATTATTTGTAACGCCATCTGATTATACAACTCTTGATGTTAAGCTCAGATAATTTTTAATATTTAAATGGATCTGTTTGGTCCTGTATATATACCACTATCCTCTGAGTCCATGATTGATCAGTTTGCCCCATTTTATCGCCATGTTTCTGTATTTATGTTGACGCTGCAACCATCCATTTCTGTAATGCTGACTTTTTATATTGAAGCCATTGATTCCACTATGTGTCTTGTTGTCTTTATTTACTATTTGTTCTATGGTTTTATCTACAGGGATTTGGCTGAACAGAGAGCTCGCCATCTTTCATGTTTGCATCAGAGCTTGGGTGTGTTTGTGGCAGTTGTGCCATATCCAACCAACAGAGAACAAGATGTTTGACATAGTTTGCATCATCCATTGCAAACATCCAAGGTACCATCTTTTGCACGAATGCCTTGTGCAGTGCCCGATTTCCCTCTCATGTTGATCGAATGAAGTTGAAAAGTACACCAAACAGCCTGATGTATGATTCACAGAAAGTGACCATATAGCCTCTGTCATTAGTAGTATTCTTCATTACTTGATCAAACTCTTGTTTTGAAATCAAGGTTTATAAGCTGTAAAGTGATTAAAGTCCTGTTGTGAGGTTCTTTATCAAAACGGTTCTTTGCATTGGATTTCAACCACTACCTGAATGCTAGTCACTTCCGAATATAAAGAGTTTCAAATAATACCATGTAAGCATGGACAGCTATGTTGTAGTTGTGGCCTGTTAACACAACAGAAGTTAATCGATATGCCACTGCTGCTGATTCAACATGCAAATCAGCCAATCCAGCACCCTCGTACCTTTGATTCAACAAACCAAGAAAAATGCAGCAAATATGGAAGACTCTCATTCACAGTACGGGTTTTTAGACCTCTCCTGGTTTTGACTAGGTAATCTCTTTTGCCTTACAATAAATTCCTTCGTCCAACGTCACTACTGTGTCTTGTTGACCAAAATGATCAGACATGTAAAGTGATCGTTTAAGAATTGTGTTTACTGTCCGAGGGTCAGTAAGGCTGACAACTACTGTCCACTATACTCGTTGCAGGGAGATCATCTGCATCCAGTTTTGTATTCAAGTGATTTCACTCTCGAAGTTATTGGATATTATCAGAGATTGTACAAATTGTACTACCATGGATTACATTTTATAAACAATAGATACATACATTACATTATATGACAACTTATAACTACCACGTAGTATACAGTATGATACTCTGTACAAAACATAAATACTATCAGATTCTATATTAAACTATTTACTATTTCAGCCATTAAATACGATAATATGCAATCATTACCATAAATTTTCCAATGGCCCATTTAGAATATGTTGCTCGTGGTTATCACACAGAGAAAACAAGTTTTGATCTGCTTCACGGTGAATTATTGAACATATGAAAATTGGTTTGATTTTATAGTTGAAAACTCTTGCATCAGTTGGTTCAAAAGATGAATGTCGACATTCAGAAGTCCAGGTCCTTATCTGGGGCTACCAACAAAGATATTTCATCTACACGTGTAGTTAACTCATTGTTATCTCCCAACAGATAGATGTCAACACGACAGGCTGAATGCTACTGGGAATTGTAATTTCCTCTTGCTCACTTTTGACCTGTTTAGATACTTCATTGTCAAGTTCATTTCATGCTATGCCGTGTGTTCAAATCGTTTGAACAGGGTAACTATATGAGAGTTACCATACAAAAGTTACATTTCTTTACCATATGAATGTGTTCTGTAATCTTTCTGCAACCACTGAAAATATTGTAAAGCAAATCCTGCGGTAGATGCGAACGTGATCGGTAAAAGATCAAATTTTCCTTCACCTTTTCACCAAGAAGATGCACATCACATTAGTTAACATAACCAGTTTAGAGGTCAATTGTTTTGCAGTAATTCATGTTCTTTATTACGCTTACTTCACTTTACTCGTAGATCTGATTCTGTTGTTAATTTGAATGTCGTTTCCTGTCTGCCTAGGTGGTTCTTACTAGTATAGGCCTGACGGTAGAAATCCTTGGGGCCGATATCCCACTAATTTTCGGGTTTGGCATATCTTGACGCCCAGCAGCTGCTGTATGAAAGGTTTACCAACTTATAGGGCTGAATTTTGTCAACTTTCTTGTTATGCCATCTTTATGAAAAAATGCATGTTGATTTATTCATGGTCACTGGATATACTGAGCAGTTGATCAATTCATATGTTCACTGAGTGGGTTGTGTAGAGGATTCTTATTAGAAGCAGTAGATGTGTTAATTATCATAGAATCTGTAATGTTTCATATGGCACTATCATTATATACAGTCTGCTAGCTAACACCATTAGCATGTTCTGAAATATATATGAAAAACAATAGCTCGAGTAATTAAGAAAAAGGTAAGTGACAATTAAAATTAAACATTTCGTACCAAATTATATATATATATATATATATATATACACACACACATGTGGACATCCTTATCGTAAATGACTTAACATAGTAACAGCATATCTATTTGTATCCAATAGTAACGCTAACTAATTCTGATCCTTTGAAATTGTCCACATTACTTATCGTTGATTCAAAGCTGTGATTTGTTCGTCAAATATTTAAATTACACACACACACACACACACACACAACAGTAAACAGTATCTCTGTCAATATGTTTAAGTGATCAGGAGAAACAAAAAATAAATATATCAGTTAAAAATAATCACATGTGTGTTTGAGAGAAAATGAAATAAAGTTATACACAATAAGATATATCTAAAAGTGTATTTGGGCAATCTGTCGATCTGAAGTTGTTGAAAATTCAATGGAGGTGAATGGTTTGAGTTTGGAAACAGGCAAAAATGAAAAGTATATATGATTCCTTTTAATATGGCACTCAGAAACTAAAAGTGCCAACGAAGGTGTCAACTTCTAAAAAACAGTATCATTTTCAAACTCTTGTGATAGACTAGTAAAAATGATGTACTGATTATTGCCAAATAATGTTTGTTCGCTTAACTCATTGTTAAAATGTTGTAGAAAGAGTCTCATAAATGAAAACTGATTGTAGTCGATCGTAGTGAGCCAGTTGTAAACTTGAATCTAAAGACACTGAAACAAACCTGTTGTGGTAACACGAAAAATAAAAAATTACGTGACTTTTTCTCTTCGTCATTTTGAAAGTTCGCGAGTAATTTGTTTATTTTTAATTACAGAAATATGTTCCCTCCTAACATCATTCAAGCGTGTATGCAGCAGGTAAGTTTCTAGCTGGTTAAGTCGATATAATTATTAATAAGGACAGCTAAGTTAAAAAGAGTGTCTGATAATAAGTATACCACAATGTATCTGCTATATCCAGCATCGACGAAACCTTTCGCCCAATATCAGGGTTTTTCAGGCCGGCTCTGGTACAAAACACATTGCACTGGAAGAAGACGTTACTTATATTAGCAGATTGTTTGACACAACTGTTACAATGTTAACTTGATCAAGTTGGTGAAGTGAAATTTTCCATCACTTGGAATTGGGATAAGGGTTATTATTTATTTGCTGATTTATTTTAACAGCATATAGTATTATTCAATATTTTTTTCTTGAATTAACCTGTTTATTATTGAGACGAACGAGTGGACCAGCAAGACAGTGATATATATATATATATATATATATAACTTATAGAATTTGTTTGTTTGTTTATAATTAAACAAAAAGCTACACAATGGGCTATCTGTGCTCTCCCACCACGGGTATCGAAACCCAGTTTCTAGCGTTGTAAGTCCGTAGACATACCGCTCTGCTACTGGGGGCAACTTATAGGGACAACCACTAGATGTCGCTTATATTGTGATGCGAACAAACATCTAGAGAGGGAATGCGAAGACAACGAAATTGTCCAATATATTAGACATATACAATTCCTGAATAATATCATATGTTCTTCATGTTTATCATATCTTTAGCTGTTTACCTTAACCTTTAATTATACTTGTCATAAGGCATTTATACATTTTAACACTACATTCGTTATCTGGTCCCTTAGGGACCTTCAAGAATTAGAAGATTGTTTGTTTATTTTGAATTTCGCGCAACGCTACACGAGGGCTATCTGCACTAGCCGTCCCTAATTTTGCAGTGTAAGACTAGAGGGAAGGCAGCTACTCATCACCATCCACCGCCAACTCTTGGACTACTCTTTTACCAACGAATAGTGGGATTGACCATAACATTATAACGCCCCCCCCCCCGGCTGAAAGAGCGAGCATGTTTGGTGGGACGAGGATTCGAACCCACGATCCTCAGATTGCGAGTCGAGCGCCACCTGGCCATGCCGGGCCGAATTAGAAGGGTGTATAATAACATTCACTTTCTACATTTTCCTTCTTCGCACTGGCTTTTACCCAGATCTTTAGAAGAAATCTGCTTTTAGACTCTTTCAAATCACATAAGTCTCCAGTGAATATCGTCCCATCAGTTTAACTAATGTTCTTATCAAAACTCACATCACCCAGTGTAATCCTGAACCTTCGATTTAGTTGTGTCTAACGGCGTTTCCAAACTCAAAACGTTATTTTTGCTGATTCGCTTGAGCATCCGCCAGTCTCTCCGCCTCATATATCCTCTGGAACATCTGTAGGTGTAGGTTTTCAGAGTATCTAAGTTCTAATCTGGCATCTAATTTTGTGTTTCTGGTCCCAAGTCGGCATCCCTTAGGCGCTATGTTTGAAACTGTATCCATATAATCCACTCACAAGATAACAAGACCCAACGTGGCGCACGTTCTCAGGTACCATGGACTTTTATCCTAACGGGATTATATTTTCAGGTACGGACCCCATTGTGGTAGCTATAGAAGTAATACAGGATGATGTAGAAGCTTGGTCGGTACATTGATGCTCTTTGAATCATGATGGGGGGGGGGGGGCGGTTTCAATATATATGTGTGTGTGTGTGTGTGTCTGCGGAATTGCAACGCTAGAATCCGTGTTTCGATATCCATGGAGGGCAGAGCACAGATAGTCCATTGTGTAGCTTTGGACTTAATTACGAACAAACAATATATATATATACTTTGTCATTTTCTAAACCAAAATTTCGTATAATCACATTGGTTAGTATGGTTGTAACATTTGCATCAAATAGATGTTAGCATTTCGGTAAAGCACGCAGTGAATTAGCCACTATAAGACGAATTAATTATAACCAGATTGTAACACAACAGTGTATTATGATAACAGAAAACAAACTGAAAAAGAAGCTGTGCCACTCGTCTATTAACAAAACAACTTAGAAAACCTAATTTCACCTTATGTCAAACTGCATTAGAAAGTCAGTTAAAGTTACTAAACTTTTCGCTATTTCTTCCATTGACCAATTAAGAATGAATTTATTAGTTTTTCTAATTAGATTAAATCTAGTAGTTACATTTAGCGTTTATTTTAATATCGATGTAACTTATTGCAGTAAAAAAAGAGCTACAGAAATTAAACATAAAAGCTATTTTTCTACACTGCTTCTAAAGGAACAGAAATTATTTTTCAAACTTTTGCTCAAAGATTCGAAGCAAAAAACAGCTGGTCAAGATCACTGACTGCACACTATTGGCCAACTATTGTCTGACCGTATAACACACTCTTATAACACACCCACGCACCCAAAATGCGGAACGCGTTTGGGCGGCAACGAACATTAAACTATATATTCTCATGTCCACAGTCTTACCATTAGGCAATGTCCGTCCCAATAAGAATGAACAAACTTTAAGGTTCAACATTTCTGCATTTGCGTTTTGTTGGTGTCTGCACACAACTTCATAGCCTGGTGGATAGGACGCTCACCAAAATATTCTTGTCCTTTCAAACATTATGATATGATAGTCAGTTTCACTGTTAGATTAGAGTAGCCAAAGAGTTGACGAGGGTTAGTGTTGAGTCACTGATTTCCTCTCTAGTCAATCACTTCTAAGTTAGGAACGGCCAGCGCAGATGGTCATTGAATAGTTTTGCGCGAAATTCAACAAACGTACCACCCTATTTAACAGATAATTCAACAAGTACACTAGTCCTAACTGAACCTTGCACTTCATCTTTCTTTTGTTCTTAGTTTTCAACGGTAATTATTCCTCCGGAAACTCACGAGAAACTAGTCCTAACTGAACCTTGCACTTCACCTTTTTTTTGTTCTTAGTTTTCAACAGTAATCATTCCTCCTGAAACTCACCAGAAACTAGTCCTAACTGAATCTTGCACTTCACCTTTCTTTTGTTTTTAGTTTTCAGCGGTAATCATTCCTCCGGAAACTCACGAGAAACTAGTCCTAACTGAATCTTGCACTTCACCTTTCTTTTGTTCTTAGTTTTCAACGGTAATCATTCCTCCTGAAACTCACCAGAAACTAGTCCTAACTGAATCTTGCACTTCATCTTTCTTTTGTTCTTAGTTTTCAACGGTAATCATTCCTCCGGAAACTCACGAGAAAGATTTGAAGAATATAACAGGTGAAAACAATAACTCCAATGGTAAGTGAAACGAAAGTTTGGAAATCAATGTGATCAGATCTATAGGCATATGCAGTTTTTTCTTTCGTTTTTTTGGAAGACTGATTAAAGAGGTTTGATTTGGTTTTGATTGTTGTTAAGCACAGAGATATACAATGGGATATCTCAGCTCTGCCCATCACGGGTATCGAAACCGGAGTTTTAGCGTCGTACGCCTGAAAACTTACAGCTGAGAAACTGGAGGATAATTTTAAAAACGAGTACTTTATAAATAACTCCTTATAAAAAAAGAAAGATAAAATCTGCTTATAGGCAAGGGGCGGGATGCAATTGCATTCCCTAAAATACACTATATGAATAAATCATATCTAAAAGTTGTATAGACACTCTCAGACACCATCAAAATACACCATTTTATTGAAAATTATTAATTTTTCAGAGGGGTAATACCTCCGGACCCTTAATATGATGGCTACTCATTTCCTTGTTTTTCTCCAAAAGTAGAACACTCTTTATAAATTTATGCTTGCTCTCCTGTACAATATTCCCCACAACTGCACCAAGTGTTTCAGCTGTAAGTCTGACGGCTTATAACACAAAAAACCGGGTTTCGATACCGTTGGTGGTCACACTACTGATAGCCTACTTTGTAGATTTGCACTTAAACAACAGAACAACTCTCGCATCATTAATGTTGACTAACTCTTTTGTTGTGACCTTGAAAAATCGAAATTATTTATGTTTCCATTGGCAATTATTCAAATAAAGCATAACTTTTTACCTACTTCTTGCTCGTATGAAAATAAATTACTCGAATACTTAAGTTATTTGAATATTTTCTGATGTATTATGATAATATTCAATTTTGAAATTTTGTGTTATTACCATATTATCGAATACGTAAGCTAAGAACAAATTAATCTCATGTATATATATTGCGAACCGTGGTGTCTGTCCGAGCATTCGTCTGTCTCCCGTTTACGGCAGCCGCTTCCCACGCTGGATTTGAAAAACTGCGCACACAGGCAAAGCTCAACATTCACTTTTGAAATGACGGGAGTTAAGGCATGAATGATATTGATGCCAAATTTTATTTTGCAAGATATTCTACACTAAATTGTTAGGAATTAATCACACTATCATTCACATTTCAAAATATGACGTAAATTAAAGAATAACAATGTAGATTTACCGCATGTTATTGTTGAGTGGTTTTTAGCATGACTGAAATGCTAAACAATCACTTTTCGCGGTGGACGGTATAAGTTGCTCGGAGCTTTGGCTCCGAGTGAAACCAAGAGTGCAACATAATTAACATTTTTAAAGTCCAAGAAATAATTTAAATTGATATATTAACTCAAAGTTTCCCGTCACTGGGGACGGGTACTTTTACCTGTAATAATAATAATTTTTGTCCCTTATTCCTGGCCCGACAGTTTTCTACAAATATGGTATTAAGTTAGGAATTGTGACTATCTAATTCACTTGTATATTCTAATCTGTTTATTTCATGTTTTAGAAATCAGTAAATATGCCTGGGAAATCAGGGGCAATTACAACAACGAAACCAACATTTTAGGGGTGGTGGTGTTCTCTGTAGTCTTGGGTGTGACTTTAGCGAAAATGGGAGAAAAAGGAAAACCGTTATTGGACGTTTTTGTTAGTCTCGGTGATGCTGTAATGATTATCACTAAATGGGTAATATGGTGAGTTATGATTACCACTAAACGAGTAAAATGGTGAGTTAGTTATGATTATCATTAAATGGGTAATATGGTGAGTTATGATTATTACTAAATAAATAGTATGGTGAGTTATGATTATCATTAACGAGTTATATATTATATGGTGACTTAGTTATAATTATCACTAAATGGGTAATGTGGTGAGTTAGTTATAATTATCACTACATGGGTAATATAGAGAGTTATGATTATCATTAAATGGGTAATATGGTGAATTAGTTATGATTATAACTAAACGATTAATATGGTGAGTTAGTTATGATTCTCACTAAATGGGTAATATTTTGAGTTATGATTATCAATAAACGAGTAATATGGTGAATTAGTTATAATTATCACTAAATGGGTAATATGTTGAATTATTACTATAACAAAAAAGAATAATGTGGTGAGTTATGGTTATCACTAAATGGGTAATTTTGTTACCCTAGGATAAATAGTTTCTAAGATATTATTTTGAATGTGGATTTTTCGTTATATTCAAGCTATTTTTCTATTAATTTAAGAACAAATGTACATCAGCAAAACTATCATTTTAGAAGTGATTATCAAACATCGACAAGGCTATTTTTAAACCTCCAATTGTATATACCTTTTGATATAAGAGTAAAATATATCTTAACGTTTCGTAGATACTGCGTTTCCAACTTTACTTACATTCTTTAGACCAATATTCACTTCATTGATGCATGTCAATATTTTTTGATAATTTATAGATTTTTTTAGAATGATATACGGGAAGGAAATAAATAGACTCATATTTTCCTATACGTTTTTACATTTGTTTCCTATTTAACATGGACGTAGAAAATAGGGAAGTACATATAAATAAGGACCACGAACCCTGAACCCAGTCTTTCTCGCTATACCTTCCAAAGACACATCAAAGATTAAAATTTATGTAGAAATTTAATAGTATGTTTAATAAGCTCATGTTATTTTCTCTGTTAGAAACTTTACATGTTAGAGTTGTAGTTGTATAGAAATTTAATAGTATGTTTAATAAGCTCATGTTATTTTCTGTGATAGAAACTTTACATGTTAAAGTTGTAGTTGTATAGAAATATAATAGTATGTTTAATAAGCTCATGTTATTTTCTGTGATAGAAACTTTACATGTTAGAGTTGTAGTTGTATAGAAATTTAATAGTATGTTTAATAAGCTCATGTTATTTTCTGTGATAGAAACTTTACATGTTAGAGTTGTAGTTGTATATAAATTTAATATGTTTAATAAGCTCGGGTTATTTTCTCTGATAGAAACTTTACATGTTAGAGTTGTAGTTGTATAGAAATTTAATAGTATGTTTAATAAGCTCATGTTATTTTCTCTGATGGAAACTTTACATGTTAGAGTTGTAGTTGTATAGAAATTTAATAAATTTAAAAAGTTAGCTTGTACATTTGTCTAAACACACTACTCAGTTTAAGAATTAAGGTATCTGTGCTAATTTCTTGCGTGTATTTCACTTTTAGGTTGTCTCCTGTAGGTATCATTTTCCTAATAACGGCCAAGATGTTGGAAATGGAAGATTTCTCTGTAATTGTGGGACAGTTAGGAATGTACACCGCCACTGTGATTTTAGGGTTATTTATTCACGCTTTTATTACTCTACCTGTTATATACAGTATAGCAACTCGATCCCTGCCTTTCAGGTTCATGTCCAACATGATGCAGGCCATAACTACTGCCTTCGGAACAGCATCAAGGTAAGAATCGATACGGAAAATGTGTGGGTCCTATATCTATTGATACCTCCTCTACTAGGTTAATTACCTGTTAGAACGTAGATCCCCACCTCTGTGTGAGTCCAACCTCCGTGGATACCTCTTCTGCTAGGATACATACTTAATATGTTATCACTGTATAAGTTTTATTTCTTCAAATACCTCTCTTTTTAGAACATATTGCCTAAACATAGTATATCCCTAAGCTAAGTGAGTCCTATGTTTCAGAAACGTGTATTTTAGAATGCATTTTACTATTCCCACTCTGTACTTCGTACCTTAATTATATATGTTTCGTTTATGGGTGCGATGCTATCTATTTTAGTCCTAGTTGTTTAAAATAATACACCATTGAAGTTAAAAAAAACTATTGTACTTAATCTTCCTTTATCACTTATTAACTCGCGATGTTGGAATCGAATAATATATGCTCTTTCAAAAATGTTCATAAAGGAATTTTGATATTTTAACATAAATTAATTAAATTATAAATTCACGTGTACAACAGTGAAACTAAATAGAAGCATTGTCAGAAATTACTTTTCAACTAATGATGCTTTATTATCATTATTATTATCACCCAATATGGACATACTACGACAGCTCGGCAACATTACCAGTGACGTTCACTTGTATTGAAGAAAAAAACCATGTGGACGTCAGGGTGTCCAGGTTTTGTCTCCCTATAGGAGCCACCATTAATATGGACGGTACTGCCCTCTACGAAGCAGTAGCGGCTATCTTTATAGCGCAGATCCGAAACTTAAGTATGGATGCTGGGAAAATTATTGCAATTAGGTATGAAATGAAGTTCTTCAAATATAGCTTTCATTATCAGAGTTAGCTATATACTGTACTTCAATATGATGATCACTAGATCAACTGTATACTATGATATATAATCACAAGGTTAACTGTATATTAGAATATGGTGGTCACAAGACTAACTATGTACTACAATATGATGATCATTGGATTAACTGCATGCTACAATAAGATAATCACTAGTTTAACTGTATGCTACAATATGGTGATCATTAGGCTAACTATACACTATAATATGATTGTCACCGGATTAAGTGCATGCTGCAATATGGTGTTCACAAGGTTAACTGTCTACTACAATATGATTGTCACTAGGCTAGCTATATACTACAATATGGTGATCATTAGGCTGATATACTACAATATGATTGTCACTAGGCTAGCTATATACTACAATATGGTGATCATTAGGCTGATATACTACAATATGATTGTCACTAGGCTAGCTATATACTACAATATGGTGATCATTAGGCTGATATACTACAATATGATTATCACTAGGCTAGCTATAACTACAATATGGTTATCAGTAGGCTAATATACTACAATATGGTAATCACTAGGCTAATATACTACAATATGGCTATCATTAAGTTAAGTGTGTACTACAATATATTGATCAATATAGTGTATAACTATACACTACCATATGATGATCACGAGGTTAACTGTATAATACAACATGCTGATCAGTAGATCAACTGTATGTTACAATATGATAATCACTAAACGAACTATATATTACAATATGATAATCACTGGATTAACTGCATGCTACAACACGGTGATCACAAGATTAACTATATACTAAAATACGGTGATAGCGAGGTTAACTGTATACTACAATATGATGACCACTAGGTGAACTATATATTATAATATGATGATCATTGAATTAACTGCATGCTATAGTATGGTGATCACGAGGTTAACTATATACTAAAATACGGTAATGGCGAGGTTAACTGTATACTACAATATGGTGATCACTAGGCTAACTATATACTAAAATATTATGATCACGAGGTTAACTGTATACTAAAATATAGTGATCACTAGGCCAATTGTTTCATGAACTATGTTAGTGGTTCATAATAGGGATCGCTCAGGAATATCACAAAAATTCTTATAGAACATACGGGCAAAAACCATCTTATAAAGTTGACTCGTTCTCAAGTTAAAAATTCCTATTTTGACTTCGATAAAATGTATAAGTACTGTATACATGGCGTCAAAGTAGGACTTTGTAGCTTGAGAAAATAATGTAGACACTACTTACAGCCTAATTTGTTTACTTTTTTTAAGAGTCCCTAGTTGTAGGCTTGAAAATATATGCTTTGCATTTTGATTCAATTTGTTTCTGTACTTTTTTGGCGATTCCTCTTCCCCTTTTTAAATTAACAATTTTTAATTATCTTGTACTCCAATATGTGATCACTAGGTTTACTGTATACTTCAATATGGTGATCACTAGATTTACTATATACTACAATACGTGATCACTAGGCTAACAGTGTTCTACAATATGGTGAGCAATAGATTAATTGTATACTGCAATATATAATCACCAGGCTAACTTTGTACTGCAAAATGGTGAACACAAGGTTAACTACAAGCTACAAGATGAAGATCATAAATTAGTTATATACTAAGATATGGCGATCATTAGGTTAAGTATATAATACAATATGATGATCAGTAGGTTAACTACATACTACAAGATGGTGATCACTAGGTTAACTATAAGCTACAGTATGGTTGTCACTAGGATAACTTTATACTACAATATGGTGATCAGTAGGTTAACTACATACTACAAGATGGTGATCACTAGGTTAACTATAAGCTACAGTATGGTTGTCACAAGGATAACTTTATACTACAATATGGTGATTAGTAGCTTAACTACATACTACAAGATGGTGATCACCAGGTTAACTAGAAGCTACAAGATGGTGATCACTAGGTTAACTATAAGCTACAGTATGGTTGTCACTGGGATAACTTTATACTACAATATGGTGATCACTAGGCTAACTGTATACTACAATATGGTAATCAGTAGGTTAACTATATACTACAAAACGGTAATCGATAGGTTAACTATTACTACAATGTGGTAATCGGTAGGATAACTTTATACTACAATATGGTGATCACTAGGCTAACTGTATACTACAATATGGTAATCAGTAGGTTAACTATATGCTACAATATGGTAATCAGTAGGTTAACTATATGAAACGGCATGATTATCACTAGGTTAACTGTATACTACAAGATGGTGATTACTAGGTTAACTGTATACTACAAGATGGTGATTACTAGGTTAACTGTATACTACGATACGGTGATTACTAGGTTAACTGTATACTACGATACGGTGATCAGTACGTTAACTATATGTTTTCAAATTACCCTTAACAACCAGTAGACAAAAAGAACTCCCTTGTTTTTCTAAAGCAAATATCCAAAACTATTGCCACGCTAGTCATTTTCAGCAATACATTCCTGGTAGTGTATTTTCCTTTCCAAATAGTTACCGTATTTTTCGGTGTATAAGACGCACTTTTTACCTCAAAATTTGATGTCAAAATCTACTTGCGTCCTATACACCG